CCCCCACTCCTCCTGGCGACCGGCTGGGGGCCCGCCTCACTGTCCCAGGGGGCCCCAGGAAAGGGGGTGGGAGGGAGGAAGCCCCCTCTCCCTCTTTTTTTTCCCATATATAAGTGCATCTTTGGGGGCTGTCATCTGGGAATTCAACTTTATTTATTTATTTATCTATTTTTAATTTTTTTGGCTGCGCTGTGCGGAATGTGGGATCTTAGTTCCCCAACCGGGGATGGAACCCGTGCCCCCTGAATTGGGAGCACAGAATCTTAACCACCGGACTAGCAGGCAAGTCCCCCACCTCTCCCTTTTGCAGAATTTCCCTTCCCTCAGGCAGAGCAAATCTGAGTACCCCCCCATCTTTGGGAAGAGGGGGTGAAGTGTCTAGTGGACGCCCCAGCCTCAGCGAACACCCTCCTCCCAGCTTTTGCACTGCTGGCGCCTCTGAATGGACCTTCTTCCCCCACTCTCCTCACATGACTAACTCTTACTTGTCCTTTCTGTCCTGCCTTTGATGTTGCTTCTTCCAGGAAGACTGCCCTGCTTTTCCTGGGCCAGAGGTGGCGCCTTCCCCCAGGCTCCCGGACCCCACGACTTCCTTTCCCCTGCACTCTGTCTACACCCACGGGGGATTTAGGTTCCTTGAGGGCCGAGGCCATGTCCTCTTGCCCTCCCTGTGTCCTCGGCACCTGGGCCCACGGAACCTCATAGGCTTGCTGTAGCTGGGACGGGTGTCGGCCTGGTTACCTCTCTCTCCTTCCTCTCCCAGGACCAAGCTCATCGCCTCACTGACTGAGGCTCCCGGCTTCCCCCTTCCCCACTGGGACCACAGCCAGGAGCTGCACGAAGAGCTGTGTGAGGGACGGGGCAGGAGAGGCAAGCGGGGTGAGAGGGGCTCCTTGGCGGGGTGACCTCCTGGAAGAGGTGACTCTATGGCATGACAACTCAGAGACTGGGAGATGTCAGCTGTGTGAGAGGTCAGGTCAGAGAGTTCTGGGAAAAGAGGAACAGCCAGTGCAAATGCCCTGGGGCAGGAACCAGCCTGGCAGGTTTGAGAGCCACTAAGGCAGCCAGTGTGACTGCTGCTGGGTGAGTTGTGGATTTCATTCCAAGTGTGTCAGAAACCAGGGAGGAACACGATCTGACTCAGCCTGGGCTGCTGCGGGCGGGCTTTCCTGAGCCAGGGTGGCCTGTTGGGTTGAGGCTGAGGGACAGGGCTTGAGGGGGATTCACGGCGGTCCCCACTCCTGCCCGCATCCTGCAGACGCTGGCCAGTATTTGGAGGTATTCCTGGAAGGCACTGCAAGGAGGTAAGCATCCATGTGGCGAGCAGAAGCACAGCTCAGCTTCTGGCTCCCAGAGGTAATATTAATCTTACACAGTGAGAAATAGGTCAGGGGCGAGAGAACCTGTTTTTCTGCCACCCACAGGGATGGAGACTGGGGCGCAAAGAGCACTGAGCGGGATCTCAGTTCTCCGACCAGGGATGGAACCCGTGCCCCCTGCAGTGGAAGCACGGAGTCTTAACCACTGGACCGCCAGGGGATTCCCCAGCACACAAGCCTTTAAACAAGGACAGCATGTCTTTTGTCTTAAATCCCATCTGGGTTTAAGATATTTGCTCAAAGATCTAAGTTAAATGTAAACAGGTGTTAAATTATTTGACAAAAAGGACCCGTCTTTTCCTCTCTTATTGGAAAGACCCTGCACTGCCATAGGGACCAGCTGTGTGACTGGAGCTGGGGTCCCACCCTGGCCCCTGGGGGGTCCAATAAGGTGTGCCCACCTGAGCCAAGCACTCCCGTCTCCCCACCACCACTTACCCCCAAGTGAGCATCCTGAACCGAAGGCTGGAATGTGCAGAAAATGAACTCAGCACCTGACTCCGAATCCTTCGCCCTCTGAAAAAACGTCTATTATGAAATAGTTCATTTATACAAAAGAACAGAGGTGAAAGTAATAACGAGATAACGTGGACGCCCACACACCACCGACCGCTTAAGAAATAAAACAAGCCAGGACCAATCACGCCTTCTAGTGTACCTCATGCCCGGCTCCCCTGCACCCCACCCCACAGGTAACCAAGACCCTGGATTTCACTTTTATCTTCCCCTCTTCCTGGGTTCCTCCTGCCTTATGCCAGCTGCTCTGTGGTCTTAGAGCGCACATAGGATGTTGGTAGGGAATGTTTAATGTATTCGTTTCCTGTAGTAAACTGTACTGCTTATAACAACAGAAATGTACTCTCTCCTATCCTGGGGGCCCTAGACTTCTTTTTTTTTTTTTTTTTTTTCCTTGCGTTATGCGGGCCTCTCACTGTTGTGGCCTCTCCCATTTGCGGAGCACAGGCTCCGGACGCGCAGGCTCAGTGGCCATGGCTCACGGGCCCAGCCGCTCCACGGCATGTGGGATCTTCCCGAAACGGGGCACGAACCCGCGTCTCCTGCATCAGCAGGCGGGCTCTCCAGCACCGCGCCACCAGGGAAGCCCTTCTTTTTTTTTTTTTTTTTTTTTTTTTTAATTTCTTTTTTTATTTTTGGCTGCGTTGGGCCTTTTTTGCTGCACACAGGCTTTCTCTAGCTGTGGCAAGCGGGGGCCACTTTTCGTTGCTGTGCGTGGGCTTCTCCTTGCAGTGGCTTCTCGTTGCGGAGCACAGGCTCTAGGCGCGTGGGCTTCAGTAGTTGTGGCACGCGGGCTCTAGAGCGCAGGCTCAGTAGTTGTGGCACGCGGGCTCTAGAGCGCAGGCTCAGTAGTTGTGGCACGCGGGCTCTAGAGGGCAGGCTCAGTAGTTGTGGCGCATGGGCTTAGCCGCTCCGCGGCATGTAGGATCTTCCCGGACTGGGGCACGAACCCGTGTCCCCTGCATCGGCAGGCGGACTCTCACCCACTGCGCCACCAGGGAAGTCCCGGCCCTAGACTTTTTAATCAAGCACCTCCAACACCAGAAATCCAAAACGAAGACCAGAAATGAGGCCAGAAATCCGAAATGAAGGTGTGGGCAGGGTTGGCTCCTTCTTGAGGCTCAGAGGGAGAATCCGCCCCATGTGGCTCCTCTAGCTCCCTGGGGTGGCCAAAACCCCTTGGCGCTCCTGGGCCTACAGCCGCATCCCTCCGATCTCTGTGTATCTGCGTCATCTCCTCTTTCTATAAGGACACAGTCATTCTATGTGGGCCCCACCCTAAATGCAGGATGGTGTCATCTTGACATCCTTAACTTGATTACATCTGCAAAGACCCTTATTCTAAGTAAGATTGCATTCACAGGGACCAGGACAGATCTACCCACCCACCGTTACATAGAGGAAGGTGCTCTAAATTTACTTAGTGACAGAGGTGTTGATCCAAAAGTCTAGGGCACCCCGTAGAGTGGGAATGTTTCTGGCATGGCCTCTCCTTTCAGGGCGGGACCACATCTTACGCCTTGAGGTCCCCCGGCTGCTCAATGGGATGGAGGAGATGGGGTCTGGTCAGGGCTGCTGGAAGCTCACTCAGGAGCCCTCCCAGGCTTATTAAGATGGGCCAAGCACGGAGGGGCAGCCAGGTCTTCCCGCCCACACCTGGCGGCCACAGCACCACCATCTTGCCCACCACCCTCCCCCATCAGACTAGGTTAGCAGCGCTGCCACTGCTGTCAGCCCTCCTTGCTCCCATCCTTTCCAGTGGGGCATGTCTCACCATGTGATTGAAGAAATGCTGGGGTAATTACTGCTGTAAGGCTTATCTCCTCCCCAGGATCCTGCCTGTCCGGTTCCTTCCCCCCCTGTAGGCCCTCGAGAGATCACTGTGCCCTGCATGAATGAGGTCGGGTGTGAGTGATCCGGACCCTTCCCGCCCTGGTCCGAGGTGAGCCTGCAGGGTGGGCTGCGTCACAGTGAGGCACCCAACCCGTCCAGGAGGAAGGAACTGCTCCACGTGGGCTCCCTGGTACCCTTCCGGGGACAGCAGTTGTTCCACAGGTGACGACTGCCCACCTGCTCGGTGCTGGAGATCAAGGCAGAGAGACAGGCAGAGGGACAGAGTGCTGCCAGGCCCCGCCTCCCGACCGAGAGCAGACCCTGCCCTGGGCCCTCCCCCATGCCTCCTCCATCCTCCCTGTGCAAAGCCTCTGCCTACAACTCCCACTCTGGGAAGCCCGGTAAAGAGATCCCACGTGTTCCCATCCTGCCCGGTGTGAAAGCCCAGACCAGCCAGCCCTGTGAATTACCGCGGACGGACAGGCCCTGGGATGGGCACTTCCCAGAGCTCCGGCTGTGAGCCTGCCCGGCTTTTCTCTGGCCCTCAGCTCTTAGAAGTCCCTTGGGGCAGCACTTCCCAGCACAGCGTGGGTGGATTTGTGTTCCAGTTGTCCGGCTTCTTCCGGGAATTGGCAAACTCCTTTTCACAGCCCTGCCCCTCATGCCCTGCCTGGAGCCTTCATGGGTGATTACACACTCTGCTGCTGCCTGGGTCAAGGAAGGCATTACTCAGGTCTAAATATTTTGATCCAAAAAAATAATCCCCCCCCCAACACCCACTGCCCAAGAAATGGGCCTCGTTTCCCTTTCTTTGTCCTGAACCGCAGCCAGCAGGTCCTGAGGACGCTGGGCCGGAGGGGACAGTGACCGTGCTCCCCGTCAGTCCCTGCCAAGCTGGGAGCCACCCCTGCCATCAGCACCTTCTCATCCGGGCCAGGATAAGGTATGGCCAGAGGGCTGCCTGGGCAGCGGGCAGCGGAGGAGCTGAGGCAGGGTCGGGTGAGGAGGGTGGGATGGGGCAGGAGCACCGTGGGGTTGGAGCAGGCAGTCAAGGCTCCATTTGTGGGAAGTAAGTTTGCCTCATATGTGGGGATGCTTTTCCTTTCACATTGGATCTGACTCACCTGCTAAAACATGCTATTTTGACCTAAACTTACATGCTATCTAGAGAAGCGGCCTGTAATGAACATCAGTTGTGTGAAAATCTATACAGCACAAGAAAATCACAGGTGCCTCCCTAAACATGGTATAAACACACAGGATGATGGGAATTCCCTGGTGGTCCAGCGGTTAGGACTCAGTGCTTCCACTGCTGGGACCCCGGGTTCGATCCCTGGCCGGGGAACTAAGATCCCACAAGCCACGCAGCGCGGCCAAAAAAAACCCCAAAAGAACAACAGCAACAACCAAAACCACACACGCACAATTAGACAGCGTCAGAAGCCAGGTTGGAGAAATCCGCCAGGAGCCACACATAAAGGCAAACTGTCATTAACCATTTACAACCTCACCAACGTGGGATAAAGAAACGACTGTAGGTATTCTTCAGGCATGGTAGTAAAAAATATCATTAAAAAATGGGGATTTGAGAACCCGCCCCCAGCTCGGGTATTTCCAGATTCTTTTTTTTTTTTTTAATTTTTTTTTTTTTTGTGGTACGTGGGCCTCTCACTGTCGTGGCCTCTCCCGTTGCGGAGCACAGGCTCTGGACACGCAGGCTCAGCGGCCATGGCTCACGGGCCCAGCCGCTCCGCGGCATGTGGCATCTTCCTGGACCGGGGCACGAACCCGCGTCCCCTGCATCGGCAGGTGGACTCTCAACCACTGCGCCACCAGGGAAGCCCCAGATTCATTTTTAAAACAAGTTTCTCAATGGGGTAAAACGTATGCTGCAGTCCTTGAGTCCACCCTGGCCGTTCCAGCTTAGACTAGTCAATGGTCAGACCTTGTAAATGGAAATGTGATAGGCAGGAAGTTAACACTGAAGGTGGGGGGAGATTACTGGTGTATCTACATCATAGCCAAGGACGCTGCTGAGGCAGGCTGTCACGGGCAGATCTGTGTTCCCCAAATTCATGTGTCGGAGTCCTGACCCCCAGTATTTCAGAATGTGACTGTATTTGGAGTTGGGGTCTTTCAAGAAGTGATTAAAGAAAAATGAGGTCACTAGGGCGTGTCCCAATCCCATAGGACTGGTGTCCTTATGAGAAGAGGAGAAAAGGACACAGACACACACAGAGGGACGACCCCGTGAGGACACAGGGAGAAGGCGGCCGTCTACAGGCCGAGGAGAGAGGCCTCAGGAGGACCCAGCCCTACCCACACCTGGATCTCAGATTCCAGGCTCCAGGACTGGAGACAATAAACCTCTGCTGTTTAAGCCCCCCAGGCTGTGGAACTTTGTTACAGCAGCTCTAGCAAACTAAAACACATGCCAATCTCAAGGAAAAAGTTTTTCAGCTTTTTGTTTGTTTTTTGTTTTTTGTTTTTTTGGGTTTTTCTGCATGAAATGCTAAGCCTTTGATTCCAAATTAACTTGGTGTTAGCAGTGAAGATGGACAACCAGACCCTCCAAGGCAAAGATCCAAAATGCACATAAGAGCTGTTAGCTTGACACACAGATTCATCAGTTAATCGATGCTGAGTTCATGTCTGTCCACCTCTCTCTGGCTTCTCCCCGGGGAAACTCATTTCCCGTCCCGCGTAACGGTGGCGAGCAGAAGGGCAGAGAGGAGCTCTCAGCCACGGGGCAACCTCAAAGCTACTACTTGATGTAGGGGATCCAACTGATGCGAGCCCGTCTCCAGAGCCATTCGTGGCCACAACACATGTGATTTTCAAACCAGATGCAGTTTTTGTTTGCTTGTCTGTTTCGACGCTGGACACAGCTCTGCCGTCCTGATATACTGTCTGATTTCTAGTGCCTGGCATCAAGTGGCTCGACATGATCACGTCTGTTGAATAAATGAATGAAATGGATAAAAATGGCCACGCCCCACAGTTGTCATGTCATCTATCAAAGTTAAAGTGATTTTAAGGAAGTGTCAGGAAGAAAGAAAAGGCTTTGCCGGCTGCAGTGAGATCATTCATTCCTTCAAGGGAAGAGCTCAAACAACATGCTGGTTTCTTGTCCTGACTTCCAGGGCCCTGGGCGCGGGTGCTGGGTGGCACAGCCTCTCGGTGTGACCCTCCTTCCTCAGTAAGTCAGCAATCATGGTTTCCAAATTCCCAACAGACAGTCATCTTTGAGACTTGGGAATGAGGTATCAGAATTACCCAAACCCTAATTATTTTTCAAAACACTGTATTCATATGATTTCAATAATGATGGACCCTAGTAAGCAGGTTCAGAGGTTTTCTGTAAAAAAAAAAAAAAAAAAAAATCGTACACTCGTGCCTTCTTATTATTATCAACTAATATATTCTGACAATATTACATATTTTAATAACATGTGGGAAGGATCTCTATCTGATGTAGACATTGGATAACAGAAAACATAAAAAGAAGGGACTATTAGCAAAAGACAAATGCCAATTAAAAATCATTTTAACATGGATGGACCTAGAGATTGTCATGCTAAGTGAAGTAAGTCAGACAGAGAAAGACAGATATCATATGACATCACTTATATGTGGAATCTAAAAAAAAAAATGATACAAATGAACTTATTTACAAAACAGGAAGAGACTCACAGACTTAGAAAACAAATTTATGGTTACCAGAGGGGAAAGCGGGGGAGGAATAAATTAGGAGTTTGGGATTAACATATACACACTACTCTGTATAAAATAAATAAACAACAAGGACCTACTCTATAGCACAGAGAACTATACTCAATATCTTGTAATAACCTATAATGGAAAAGAATCTGAAAAAGAATCTATATCTATATCTGTATCTATCTATCTATCTGTCTCTCTGTATATATCTGAATTACTTTGCTATACACCAGAAACTAATACAACATTGTAAATCAACTATTCTTTGATTAAAAAAATAAATTATTAAAAATTTAAAGATATTTCCACAAATATATGATATTAAAAAGATTAATTGCCCTGGATAGTCTAGAGCCTTTTTTTCATGACAAATATGCCAGTTGTAGAAAAACGTCTTTCACTTGACAATGATGTTGGTCAGATTTTTAGGAGTCCAAAGCATTCTTCGTGTTGGGCAATAGGATAGTACAGGTACAGGTTGCTGTTTTTTTATTATGGTAAAAAAAATATATATATATATATATTTATATAGAATATAAATTTATATTCTATTTATATTCTATTCTATTTATATTATATTTATATAGAATATAAAAGTTACCATCTTAACCAGTTCTAAGTGTATAGCTCAGTGGCATTAAGTACATTCACATTGTTGTACAACCATCCCCACTCTCCATCTCCAGAACTTTTTTGTCTTCCTAGACTGAAATTCTATCCCCATTAAACTCTCACTCCCCATCCTCCTCCCCCTACCCCTGGCCCCCATGTCCTACTTTGTGTCTTTATGGATTTGACTCCTCTAGGGACCTCCTGTATGTGGAATTTGTCCTTCCGTGGCAGGCATGTTTCACTTAACATCACGTCCTCAAGGTTCGTCCACAAGGTCAATTTTTTTGCAGTTTTTTCTTGTGGTTGATTTCTAATCTCATAGCATTGTGGTCGGAAAAGATGCTTGATATGATTTCAGTTTTCTTAAATTTACAGAGGCTTGCTTTGTGGCCCAGCATGTGATCTATCCTGGAGAATATTCCATGTGCGCTTGAAAAGAATGTGTATTTTGCTGTTTTTGGATGGAACACTCTAGGGATATCAATTAAGTCCGTCTGATCTAATGCGTCACTTAAGGCCTGTGTTTCCTTATTGGTTTTCTGTCTGGAAGGTCTGTCCATTGATGTAAATGGGGTGTTAAAGTCCCTGACTATTATTGTGTTACTGTCAATTTCTCCTTTTATATCTGTTAACATTTGCCTTATATGTTTCGGTGCTCCTGTGTTGGGTGAATATATATTTACAATTGTTATGTCTTTTTCTTGGATGGATCCCTCGAGTGTTATGCAGTGTCCTTCTTTGTCTCTTGTAACAGTCTTAATTTTAAAGCCTATTTTTCTGATATGGGTATTGCTACTCCAGCTTTCTTTTGAATTCTACTTGCATGGAATACCTTTTCCCATCCCCACGAGGTCACTTTTTTAGTGGTGAAACTATTTCATCTGCTTCACAAAACCATAGCCTACAGTGAATATTCAAACGCTGAGAAGTGCCAGCAATTATTGCCTAGTGGGATTCAAATCATGTAACATTGAGATCCCTGAGCAAGTTTAGTAGCACTACACAGAATCACAAACGCGCCAATTTAAGGACTTTGTTTATTCCTTAGAACACCACTCATAGGATTTGTGTGAAGTATCCTGTGTGTAGAAACTCATTCATGTTTATTTTATCCACATGAGTGACTCACCCCTGGCACAGGCAGGGCCACGAGCAGGCAGTTACAATGTGCTGCAGCCACAAGCCAGACTGCTTCCGACTCTGGTTCCGTGGTGGCTGGTTCTTGCCCCTGTGCTTCTGTCCTGGTCCCCAAAACCTCAACCTTATCCTTCAACTCCACGTGAGAGCACTTCCTGACCTCGCTTTTGACCTGACCAATGGATTCTTTCCAACCAGTAACCTCTTTGTGTTGACTATTTCATTCTCCAAAGAGAATTTTAATGCTTTTCCCTTTGTCTCGAGGTCTTGACTGATATCTCTATTTGGGATTAGGAAAAACATAACTTTCATGAGAAATGGTGGGAAAGAATTCCTGCCTCGAAACCCAATGGGCAGTGTCTCCCCTTGTGGCCTCAGGACACTGCCACAGCTCCTGGCTGCATGTCCTGAAGGCCCGGGGGCAAGTCAGAAGAAGAACCCAAGGCTTCCTCCCATGCTGCTCTCTCTTCTGACAGAGAGGAAAACCCCACAAGACCCTGCACTGTCCCTTAGGTGGAATTGACAAGATCAGGGTCCAGCCCCTCTCATAGCCTCTCGGGGGCAAAGGACAATGAGATGCCAGAGGGCCCAGCTCAATCCCGATTCTCTCCAGGGTGGAGGGTGGATGGGCACGGCCTGGATGAAAGGGGCCCCCTCAGGTGATAAGTGAGATCTTCTGTATCACCCTTCCCAAGTAGCATAACCCTCACAGCCAGCCCCATGAGGCGGCTCTATCATCTTCACTTCAGGAATGAGGAAACTGAGGCCCAGAGAGGATCTGCCTAAGAATACACAGCCATGTCCAAAAGAAGCAGAACCAAGCCTTGAACTAGGCCACTGGGCTCCAGAGCCTACAATTAGAACTACTGTGCGAAA